GAGGGGCGCGCAGACGAGGCCTCGGGCCCGGGCCGGGGCCGGCCTGGGGAGGGGGCGGCCTGCGGAGGTAGGATTGACGGCTGCGGTCCCGCGGAGACTTGTCCGGGCACCTGTGGGGCCGAGGTTCGGAGCCACCTGTCCACACCCCTCCCTTCCCTCAGTGTCCTGCGTTGTGTCCATCTGTCCCCAGATTTAGGCCTTTACCAGCCTCTGGCGAGTAGAGTTTATTTTAGAAACGTTCGATTTTTGTGTTAATGATCATTTTACTATGGTCGTGCAACAGTTGTGTAGATCTGATCATATTACGCCATCATTTTTACTTGCTTCTTTGAAGGCCCTTTCCAGCTCCTGCGATTATCCGACGCGATGATTCTTGGTAATTTGTGGAAAAAATGCTTAACAAGATACTGGTTCCCAGGGGTCTAACGCGTTTTTTATCCCTCAAAATGGAAGGTTTTTGTTTGTTTGTTTGTTTGTTTTTTAACAGCAGTTATATACTGGGGGTTGGTAGGAGGGAGGGCGGAGAAAGCCTGGTAGCAATCTCATCCTCAAGAGAGGCTATTCGCAATTTGGGGTGTATTTTTCCTTTCTTTTTAATGAATATATGTACGTGTGTTACGTAAGGAATAGTATTTATTTGACTTTTTTGCATTTAATACATCGAGTACTTATTCTATATCATTTGAACCCAAAGCACAGAAGGCAAGAAAGCAACTCGTTAAGAGATTTGATAAAGTATGACTGCAGTGGCCAGTGGTTTGGATAGAAAGAAGCTGAATTCAGGGGTAAAAATTGATTTCTGTAGGATATTGTTTACTGTGCTTAAAAATTTGTAGGTAGCATTTCCTGAAGCTACAGTTTTCAATACATTAGTGAGTCGTGAAATTAATTTAGTGAGTATTGACGAGCATTTTTTAAAAAATGAAATGAGGTAGCATAGAAAATTCCAGAATGTATTACATGCAGTGAGAGTATTGTTTAGTGGAACATGTTCTAATTGCATGTGTGCAGTGTTAGAGTGTGTTGGGTTGTAATATAAAATATTTGTTTGCTGCGTGTCATGCTAAATATATTGAAAGTCAATAATCAATGGTACTGTCAGCACTTCCAAGCGTTGAGAGCGATAATTAAACTAAACGTAGGTTTTTTTCCTTTGAAATAGTGACGTCGTTTTTATTGTGGAAATAAGATTCCTAATTATTTTCACTTAATATTAGAAAAAATCGCTTAACCATTCCTAAAAATACAAAAAGGAAATGTTTAATGGAAGCTGAGCGATGGCAAACCATAACCGCTCAAATTGACGTAGGATTAAATTCCAGCTACGTTGGTGATTGGTGTGAGACCTGAGACAAGATACCTTTTCTCTCTAAACCCGTTTCTTGATTTAGAGTAGGAATTGTCTTTGCATCTACTTTATAAAGCTGTTTGTTATTTAGATAAGATAATGCATTTTGAAGCTGTTGACGGGGTGCCCACTTCAGATTAAGTACCCACTAAGTGTTAGCTATTATTATTTTATTAAAACTTGAATGCAGGTGTCCAGAGCAATGCATGTCACCAGAGGAAAGCCAGCATAGTGTGCATTATCCAAAAAATTTGGAAAACAGAAAATTAGTTAATAATGTGTGTGAAAGAACTGACACTGAATTAAGATGGTCTTTTTACGTCTTTTGGCCATTATTTTGTAATTGCGTCTCAATTGTTTCTCATCTCCTAGACATGATTTAGATTGCCTTATTCAAAAAAACCTGAATGCCCTCCTATTGTCTTTTCTTACTTATTTTTTATTAAGTTCGTGTCTCTCTTGTCAGGCAATTGAAAAATATTTCCCATGAGTATTCTAGATTTTGTTACCTTTTATTACAGTGCCACACTCAGTTTGAGAAACACACACTGCAGTTCGAAACTCATTTCAACCATATTTTTTATTGGCGTTTACCTCTGCGGCAGGTGCAGATCTCAGGCTTGGATGAAATATTCCTTAAGAAAACAAAATGCAACTTTCTATTTTGAGACAATTGTACTGAAGTCTGCCCTGGCTACTGAGAAATCTGTTCTCTGCTCCAGATAGATTTATGCAATTTTAAATGCTATATGAACCAGTGAAATAAAGAGGGTGAACACTGTTGTTTTAAATAGCATTAATATTTTTATGAAAAATAAATTGAATGCTTTGTGCTCATACAAAGGCTTTGTTATAAACGTACTTAACTGGGTTTGACAGCTGTAAAAAGGTTGAGACAATCCTAATTCTGCTTCTAGGTTTGAAAATGTCTTTAGGTTCTCTGCTTTAGAAGAATGAAAATGCAAACTCATTGAGGGTGAATTATATGTAATTTATAAGAAAACATGACTTGGAACTATAGGTAACCTGTCCACCAAAACAAACAAACAAAGAAACAAAAAAAACCCCTGCAAACCCCAAAATACTGGTGAAACAAAAAAGCCCCTTTGACCTTAAATCAAACATATATACATTCATATGTGTTAAGTTAAATAACAGAATATTAATGTTATATGTGTAAGTATTTTAGAAATCATACTATTGACTGACTTTAAGAGATTAACTTACCAATTACTGGCTCTTATTAATAAGAGGGCTTTTTTCTTACTCCAATTAAATGAAATATTCTGCAACTATTCAACATTTTATTTTGGAAATCCACATATACCGTGGAAATATACATAAAGGGGCATATCATATTTGATTAAATGAGAAAGGATGCTTATAGAATATACAATATGATTCCATTTTTTAAAAAATATGTTTAGAACAAAGAAGAATATATAACATGTTAACGATGGGTTGTGGGATTACGGCTGATTTTGATGCTCTTCATTTTACAATTGTACTATAATAATATTTTACTTTTGTAATAAAAATTAATAAATGTAATTTCTAAAGAAAAAATGAAAATGTGTGTTTTCCTGTTTTACAAGCATAAATGAGACTAAGCTTTAAGGGATACTGACTCTGAAGTAGGATATTTTGTGTATTAACTAATTCTCCAGTATTCTTCGAAACGCTACTGAAAAGTTAACAGTTACATTCCTTATCCCTTGAAAAACTCCTTTGAATGGGAGAGAATGGATGTTCTAGAATTTTCTTAAAGCACTCTTTGGATATACCTGGTAACAAAAGAAATTCCACACTGATTAAAGATAGTTTAAATTCTTAAATCTCCTTTTGAATCTTACCTTGTCAAAATTCAATCTACTTTTCTTGTTTTATTGCCCCTTAAAATCTCACACGAGACCTTATTAGATTCTGTTGAACTTATTAGCTCCAAATGCACCTTGTGTTTTCTTGCTTTTGTACTTTTGGAATATCATATCCTGACCTTTGTGTAAGCAAATCCTACCCGTTCTCCTGTGTCTGGTTAAAAAAACCATATCCACAGTGGCATTGCTGGTCACTTTAGCTAAAACTGAACTTTGCAATTAAACCTATTAACACTATTTTTGCTTAGGCATTTCTCAGGCAGGACCTCAATCTTTTGCACTAATCACCCAATGTCATTTTAAACTTTTTGAGGGCAAGAACACTTGTCTCAAATTTGTCTTTATCCCTTAAAGCTTCTAACGTGGAACTCTGCATAGGGAAGCTGCTTCATAATTATCCATTGATATACAATAGTGTCATGGCTCATTTGAGCTTAGATATAGAATTTGTTAACTGGTGATCTAGGGGGTAACACTTTGTCCACAACAATGCAGAGGAATAAAAAATTGTTAATTCTGATTAATTGTGCATTGCCATAGATAGATGATATAAAGAATTGACAATATTTTTCATTGAAAGTAACATGCTACCTGACGGGTGGTTATTCTAGAACTCAAGCTTAATTTCGTATATACATGTAATTTTAAAGAGTTTCTCATGAAACTTATTTTGGGTTTGACAACATTTTTGTTCTTAACCTTACCAGAGGCATAGTTGCGCCTTACATTTTTTTTACAGCTACTGTTCTAGGAACCCAGAGACCTACAGTGTTTGATGGTGGGCTAGGTGGGCCACCACTGTCACTCTACTCCAGAGCACCTTAGGAGGTCATGTATGAGGTTCAGTGAGTCATAGTATGTAAAGTGCTTTACATTCAAAAGTTGTTACGGTTTCTTCTATGGAAACATGATGGTGTCACTTTTCAACCTTAAATATGACTTGGGGGTACCTTACTTGGTCAATGGTAAACACTTACGGGACTTAACGTTTTAAAAAAATAGTTTTATTTTAATTTACAGATATTTTCCAGGACTAACATAGCTGATGAAATACCTGACCTTTTCTGCTCAAGGTAAATAATTTACTTTATAAAAATACTAGGCTCTAATAGAATTTTGAGTTTATGTAGAAAGACCCATTCAGTCATGCAAAGTAATAAAAGCCCAGACCCTAAAGAAACGATCCCTTTAATAAGAAAGAATTTTATTAGTTCATAAAAAATGATGACTTATATTGCGTCAACTTATGTCAGAATCACCTCGGGCATTTTAAATATGTGTAATATGCATGTGCCTGCCTCCTGCTTCTAGATTTTAATTTGGTAAGTACATGGGGTCCTGGCGTGTGAATTTTTTAAGATGCCAACACATGCTTCTGGTTCATTGTAATTTACTGTCATTGTGGCACTAGAGATGATGGAAATAGCAGATGATAATGCCACAGGATTTAAAGGCCATAAGGGTTAAAGATATAAAAAATATTTAAGCATTTAATTTTTATGTGGTTACTTTAGACTCATACTTTTGTCTTTTATTCAGTAAATGTTTTCAATAAATAACTAAGATGTTTAATTTGTGATTTTCAAAGTTTAGGTTCTCTTAGCCTGGAAATTGCCTTATCTATAAATACAACTTAAAATAAAGCTTTGTTTCTCTTTATTGCTTCAAATTAATAAGTAAATTAATGAACAAAAGACTGAATTTTAAGTAATATTTTATATATTCTTTATTTCAGAGACTAGTTTAATTGATTAATATCCCCCATAAATGTGGAAAGTCAGAACATCAAATGTTCTCATAGTAAAAAGTAATAGGTAAGTGAATGTCGTAACATTTTTCCTTAATGAAGCTTTTATATTCTCAATCTTACTGATTTTAAGGCTATGATTTTATTTCTTAGTCATTGATTTTAATGATGAAATTGTTTTCATTACAGAAAAATCTTATTCAGAAATATTTATAATGGGATGATTATGTTAAATATTTTCCAACAAACAAAAATGTTTAAAATAATCAAGATTAAAAACTCAAAAAGGGCAGCTCCTGTGGCTCAGTGAGTAGGGCACCGGCCGCATATGCCAAGGGTGGTGGGGTCAAACCTGGCAGCGGCCAAACTGCAACAACAACAACAACAAAAAACTCAACAAAATTACTCGCAATTCTATTTTCAGTTTAACAAAACAGCAGAAAACACTCCTGCATTGTATTAAACTTTTTACTTAATCACAAACTGCACACACATCATGTCTGTTAATAAATTGGGCATCCAAGTTACCTGGAGAATTTTAAAAATTCTGAATCCTAGTCTGTGTCTTAGTTCTGTTAACTCTGAATTTTGGGGGATGATTTTGGCATTCAGTCTGGCGTGAGAACCACTGCGGTAGGTATGTTGTAAGATTCCAATTGGAGGTGGATAGAAACCGGGAAACTATTTGTAAAGAAATCTCAAAGCACCAGCAGGAAAAAATTCTTTATATTTACTTGGTGTATGTAATTGTCAAAAATGTCTTTCATTTTAGAGGCTAACGTAATTATTTTGATTTTTAGCACCTTTGTTGGAGAAGTTATTTTGAAATCTGCTTCTTTGTGAACTGAGAAGAAAATGCCATGTGGTATCTTTACTCTCATGACAGAATTAGGTGTTATATTTACAAATGTTATAGACACTCAGAATTCACATAATGGAATTTTGTATAGAAACATGGTGGGGGTGGCTCGGCGCCCATAGCTCAGTGAGTAGGGCGCCGGCCACATACACTGAGGCTGGCGGGTTCGAGCCGGCCCAGACCTGCTAAACAGCAATGATAACTGCAACCAAAAATAGCCAGGCGTTGTGGTGGGTGCCTGTAGTCCCAGCTACTCGGGAGGCTGAGGCAAGAGAATCGCTTAAGCCCAAGAGTTTGTGGTTGCT